CTGTTTGCCAGGGACACATTTAGCGCCATGGAGGAGGATCTGGGGGCCAGCTGCAGAGCTGTGTGTTAGTCACCCATTTTCTTCTTGCTTGCATGGAAACAGATGTTGTGTCTGAGGAGATAGGTGGCCAAATTCAGACTTGAACAACCTTTATCTTCTCTCCCCCCTCCCTCTCCACCCCCCCATCCAACTAGGTGAGATAATAGAGGCTGCAGTTTCATTGGCAGCCTCACATTGTTCCTCTTCATGCATTTTAGGAACAGGCTAATCGCTGCAGCCTGATGGTACTGGTTGAAAAGCAGCACAGCAGAAGACGCAAAAGGCCTGATGCTGTCCTGTTGAAGCTGACAGGAGTTTTGCCATCAGAAAATCACATGCTCACTCAAAGCCCGGCAAAGATGAGGGGAGATGTGCTTCTGGGAGCTGGTAGTGGTCCCACCCAAGATGTCAGTGATGGACACCATCAGACAAGTTTCACTGAAAACACTTCGCAGGAATCGAATGGAAGTTTTAGGGGGAAAAGACAAACTGGCAAAGTGAATTGCACATGAGAGTGCTCAAGCCACTCAGCTGTATCGTGTGTGGGGAAAACCTGCTTTATTGTTGGGTAGCACTAAAGCATGACACCTGGGAAGGCTCTTCAGCTCCTGACGTGGTGTGCACATCTCCCCAAGGGTGCTCCGGGGGACAGTACTCATGCAGGCACTGGTCACCTTTTTGTGACTCACTGGTTCCTGCTGGGGGGAAGGAGACCTGGACATGCAGGCAGACAGCTGGCCAGCAAGTCTGGAGGCCATGCGCTTTCTTTTCCTGAGCCACCCTAATAGCACCAAATGGAGGAACCCCCACAAGACAGCTCTGGAAGATGTCAGGATTCCTTTGCCCCAGCCTCACTGGTTTTAGTTGTAAGACGATTTAACATAGTTCTTCTTCCCTGCCTGGCAGGAAGAAGTCATGGGATAATGTTTTAGAAACATTGGACGTCTTGATGAAAACTACATTTTTCCATACTTTTCCCAGTGCAGAGAAACCCCTGGGGAAGTGAAGCAGGTTGTGTAGAAAGGAAATGAAATAGAACACATGATGATTAGTGTATTATGAGCTAATACAACATAGAGATCTGTATTGCTCTCTGTGCAGATGTCCCCAAACCTTCCACATCGGGTGAAGTAGCAGATGACAAACAGTTTTCATACACTAGATCAAACAGATCAACTATAATCACACTAAACTGCAAACACCGAATTATATTAAGCAGGTGGACCCCAACTTGTGTTTCAGTTTATAAGCAGAGCAGAGTGCGTGTGTGGAATTTTAACAAGAGGAGCAAAATTTCCCTACTCCAGGTGCATGACAACAGAAAAGATGATCATTGCTTTGAGTGACAGAAAAACGTAGTCACAGCCGTCTCTGACTCCTTTTCACAGCTCTGCCAGCAATGAGTTTGCAGACCCACTGTCTTTATAACTTTTCACATGGTGGATGAGGAGGACGAGTGTGTATCTGGCACGTGGCGAGGAGGAGAGGGACCGCAGCTCCTGGCTACGATCCTGTGAAATCACATTAAGCACATGAAAGTCCCTTCCTACCTGAAACGCTTCAGTGACTTTGCTGCTCTGGGACTCATGCTCCAGATGTGCCACAGAGGTCCAACCATGGGCTCTCCCTGCAAGATAAACCACACCATTGGGCCACAGGCTCCCCTTCCTGTGAAAGGCATTGGAGCATGGCCTGCAAGCCCCCGTCCCATCATGGTGCTCATGTGGCTGGGGACATGTAGCGGTGGGAAGAGTTTGGAAGAGGCCACAATGCTGCTCAGGTCATGCTGGCCACCTGGCTGGCCTGAGAACTGGGCAGCCCTAAAAGTCAGAGGCCACAAGCTCCTTCCTGTGGCCAGATGCGCTTGGTCATCTCGCAGCCCAGAAGCTTGGGTATCTAAGACCAAAGTATTCACTTAGATTTATGTAGCTAGAACATCTCATTTTGGTGATTTCTTACTCTTCACAGTGGGTCTCCTTGGGGATAGCTGGGGCACCCTTCACCTTTTCCAGCTGCTGGTGCTAAGCATGTTGCAGGACCACCACCTCCTTGAGTCACACTTCACATTTGATGGGATCCCTTGGTGTCTGCAAGTGATTCCTGGTAGATTTGGGATGTTCTCTCATGTCTTGGTTCCCAGGATTCCAGAAGTCCTTTCAGTGGGAAATGGTGATGCCCCAGAAACCTGGTTTCAGCTCTCCTCTTCTCTGTGGATGGAGTGACACCCCCAGTGTTTGTTTTCTAGCATTGCCATGTGCTGGAGGAGCTGAGGGCTGCCCACATCTGGATGCTCCTTGAGTTCAGCTGTACACACAGGGGCTGTGCTGCATTGCCATAGGGTCAAAATATTTGGATCTGGAGCTAGAGCTGAGATCTGCTGCCAGGCACGAAAGGAAGCTCCTGCAGAAGCTGACTTTCACAGAGGAGCATTGAGCCAGGAAGGGGACTATTCCACCAACAGATAATTCTATGACTTTATTCATTTCTGTCAGCCAACCCCCTCATTAACAAATTAAGGTGACCCAGGCACTCATTTTGGAAGAGGAAGACTAATAGAATGAGGTTGTCACAGGGCTGCTTGTACAAGTACCGCACAGCATCAGCAGAGCTCCACTGGCCAGTGAGGGTGTCTCCTATAGCCTGAATATCTGATTTTGCAGCCAGTAAAGAACCTATGGCTTCACAAGTGTGCAAGAATTAAATTTCAAAACTACCATTACTGCTTGAACTTCCAGGGCAAGCAGATGGCACAGTGCCCTTTGCCATCTTCAGCTATGATCATAAAATTGTAGTATCATAGAATGGTTTGAGTTGGAAGGGACCTTAAAGATCATCTAGTTCCAACGCCCCTGCCATGGGCAGGGACACCTCCCTCTAGATCAGGTTGCTCAAAGCCCCATCCAACCTGGCCTTGAACACCTCCAGGGATGGGGCCTCCCTGTCTCTGGGCAACATGTTCCAGTGCCTCACCACCCTCAGAGTAGAGAATTTCTTCCTGACATCTAATCTAAATCCACTCTCTTTCAGTTTAAAGCCATTACCCCTTGTCCTATCACTACATGACCTTGTAAATAGTCCCTCTCCGGCCTTCTTGTAGGCCTCCTTTAGGTCCTGGAAGACTGCAACAAAGGTCTGCCCGGAGCCTTCTCTTCTCCAGGCTGAACAACCCCAACTCTCTCAGCCTGTCCTCATAGGAGAGGTGCTCCAGCCCTCGGATCATCCTTGTGGCTCTCCTCTGGACTCACTCCATCAGGTCCAAGTGCTTCTTATGTTGGCAACTCCAGAGCTGGATGCAGTACTCCAGGTCGGGTCTCACGAGAGTGGAGTAGAGGGGCAGAATCACCTCCTTTGACCTGCTAGCCACACTTCTTTTGATGCAGCCCAGGATACGGTTGCCTTTCTGGGCTGCAAGCACACATTGCTGGCTCATGCTGAGCTTCTCATCAACCAACACGCCCAAGTCCTTCTTGGTAGGGCTGCTCTCAGTCCCTTCATCCCCCAGCCTTTATTTATGCTTGGGATTGTCCTGACCCACATGCAGGACCTTGCACTTGGCCTTGTTGAACCTCATGATGTTCACACGGGCCCACCTTTCAAGCCTGTCAAGGTCCTTCTGGATGGCATCCCTGCCCTCCAGTGTGTCAACCACACCACACAGCTTAGTGTTGTCAGCAAAGTTGCTGAGGGCGCAGTCAATCCCACTATTCATGTTGCCAACAAAGATGTTAAACAGCACCGGCCCCAATACCTACCGCTGAGGAACACCACTTGTCACTGGTCTCCACTTGGACATCAAGCCGTTGACTGCAACTCTTTGAGTGTGACCATCCAGCCAATTTGACCAAGTGGTCCATCTGTCAAATCCATGTCTCTCCAATTTGGAGACAAAGATGTCGTGTGGGACAGTGTCAAATGCTTTGCACAAGTCCAAGTAGATGACATCAGTTCCTCTTCCCTCATTCACCAACACTGTAACCCTGTTATAGAAGGCTACCAAATTTATCAGGCACAATTTGTCCTTAGCAGAGCTGTGTTGCTCTCACCAATAACCTTCTTATTTTCCATGTGCCTTAGCATACTTTCGAGGAGGATCTGCTCCATGATCTTGCTGGGCACAAAGGTGAGACTGACCAGCCTGTAGTTCCCTGGATCTTCCTTTTTTCCCTTTTTAAAAATGGGGGTTATGTTTCCCCTTTTCCAGTCAGCATGAACTTCACCAGACTGCCACAACTTCTCAAATATGGTGGATAGCAACTTCATCTGCCAGTTCCTTCAGCACCCATGGATGAACATCATCAGGTCCCATGGACTTTTGTACCTTCAGGTTCCTTAGATGGTCTCGAACCTGGTCTTCTCCTACAGTGGGTGGTTCTCCATTCTGTGGCTTGGGCAGTGTGGCTAGAGCACTTGCTGGTGAAGAATGAGGCAAAAAAGTCATTGAGTACCTCTGCCTTCTCCATATTCCCAGTAACGAGGTCTCCCGTTTCCTTCTGAAGAGAGCCCACATTTTCCCTATTCTTCCTTTTATCACTGACATACCTATAGAAGCTTTTCTTGTTGCCCTTCATGTCCCTGGCCAGATTTAATTCTACCTGGGCTTTAGCTTTCCTAACCTGATCCCTGGCTGCTCAGACAATTTCTCTGTATTCCTCCCAGGCTACCTGTCCTTGTTTCCAGCTCCTGTAGGCTTCTTTTTTCTGTTTGAGATTGACCAGGAGCACTTTCTTCATCTATGCAGGCCTCCTGGCATTTTTGCCTGACTTCCTCTTTGTTAGGGTGCATCTCTCGTAAACTTGGAGAAGGTGACCCTTGAATTTTAATTAGCTTTCTTGGGCCCCTCTTCCCCCCAGGGCTTTATCCCACAGTATTCTACCAAGCAGATCCCTGAAGAGGCCAAAGTCTGCTCTCCTGAAGTACAGGGAAGTGAGCTTGCTGTGCACCATTTGTGCTGCCCTAAGGACCTTGAACTCCACAATTTCATGGTAACTGCAGCCGAGGCTGCCCTTGAGCTTCACATTCCCCACCAGTTCCTCTTTCTTCTTGGTGGGAACAAGCTCCAGCATAACACCTCTCCTTGTTGGCTTCTCTGTCACTTGGAGAAGGAATTTATCATCAACGCATTCCAGGAACGTCCTGGACTGCTTATGCCCTGCTGTTTTGTCCCTCCAACGGATGTCGGGGTGGTTGAAGTCCCCCATGAAGACCAGAACTTCTGAATGTGATGCTGCTCATATCTGTCTATAGAGGGCCTCATCAGCTTGGTTTTCCTGGTCAGGTCACCTGTAGCAGACCCCCACTATAATGTCGCCTGTCCCTGCCCTCCCTTTAATCCTGACCCATAAGTTCTTGGTCAGCTCCTCATCCATCCCCCGGTGGAGGTCCATGCACTCCAGCTGGTCATTGACATAGCGGGTGACACCCCCTCCTCATCTTCCCTGCCTGTTCTTCCTGAAGAGCCTGTATCCTTCCATTCCAACACTCCAGTCATAGGAGCCATCGCACCATGTCTCCGTGATGCCAATAAGATCATAGCCCTGCAGGTGTGCGCATGTCTCTATCTACTCCTGTTTATTCCCCATGCTACGTGGGTTTGCACAGAGGCATTTAAGTTGGGCCCCTGATAAATCTGACTTACTGGCTGGAGTGCCTGGAATTCCTTTGTGCTGCACTCCAGGTGCTCTCCTGCTGACCTGTGATCCTTCTCCGGGTTCTGGGCATCTATTGCTGGCACTGGCATCACATTGGGATGGATTGTGGGATGGATTGTGGGATGGACTGCAGTTCCCCTCCCCCAGCAACTTTAGTTTGAAGCCTTCTTCACCAGCTTGGCATCATTGATGCATCATTCTCTTGCTGGCACTGCAGATGGTCTATGTAACCTGGAAAAAAAGAGAGGAAATAATCTGCAAAGAGGCAAAAAACATCTGGTCAGAGCATGATCATTTGTTTTGGAATAAGAGAAGAGAAAGTCTGTGTAGCTTCTTCCCAGAAACAGAGCATGGGCCATGAAGCTGCATATAGATTTCCTTTGGCAGGGAAGGATCCTCAGTATGCCTCTTTAAGGCCAAAATATATGTTGCAGCCGTTGTGTTTTCAGACCGCCTTTGAGCAATACGTTAATAACAGACTTGTTCACCCCAAGCTGTTCTGTGTGTGAGTGCAAAAGCATCAAGCTCACAGCAGAGCTCCCATTTCAGTGCAATGCTAGGCGGTATAAAAACTTAAACATCACACTTCTGCCTGAAAACACAACTCAAAAAACCCAGTTCTGATCAGAAGGCCACCTTCATTCATTGACTAATCCTTCTGAATTCTTTCTGTGTGTTTACAATCACACATTTTTATGTATGCTATGCATACATCTAGTTTTCAGGTTAGTGAAATTGCAGCTGTGATTACAGTTTCACCCGTACCGTGTCTTCCATCACATTAACAATGTGCAGTGAGTTTGACTGTAGGCAGCTTGGCCTCTTGTTCATTTGGATTTTTACCATATGAAAGAAGTGAAAAAAAAAAAGGAGAGAATTGAAAGGTGCAGCTGCAAAATTAAAAAAAAAAAAAAAGGAAGATGATAGATTGTCAGAGAATTTCAGAGATACTTGATCTGAACCTAATTCAAAATAATATCTTAAAAAGTGACCCATAAAATTGAAATTATCTCTTTAACTCAAGGACACCTTCTCTCTGTCATAGAAAAGTGTTAGCCTAGCATTTCTCACCAGCATCTCTCAAGAAGGGGTTTTAAGCATGCAACATTTTTAACCCAGTAATAGTACAAAGGTAACGTGAGCTCTGAGCAGCTTGTTGCTTTCTAAAGTGCCTTCTCCTTGGAGTTGAGTAGGAGATGTTACATAGAACCGAGTGCTACCTGTTCTCCAGTCCTCCGCTCATTTACCTTTTGTCTGATCCCTGAGTTTTCTCTAGTGATGTACTACCTCAGCATGAAAGGTCAGTGGTACCTACAGTCACTCATCTCCTGGACTTTCCACTAATGGCTTGGTGAAGAGTGAGGCATTTTCTGTTCAGCTACCAAAAAAAAAAAAAAAGGATTTATTTTCAATGGATTCATTTCCCTTGTGTTATAATTAAACAAATGTGATTACATGCCAGTGATATTGCCATAATTATATAGGTATAGACAATGCACAGTTGCCAAGGAATGTTACTGATATAGAAATTATCTCCTAATGGACTACTATTTTGTAGAGGGAGCTTTCCGATGACCCTGGGAGAAGACTGTGTGACTAAGCTGAGGTAAAACAACATTAGTGACCAGAACAACAAATCTAGAAGGCTACTAGAGAAAACCAGGATGCTCCTTTTGGGAATCCATCCATCCATCCAGCCAGCCAGCCAGCCTGTTGTATAGGGGTCTCACCATTTGAGCATGTATAGAACCGAACTGGCTGACAACCTCCTGTAGCTGCCCACAGTTGACACCCTAGCCAGGTATATACAATTTTGAGATTGTGTATATATATCAATGCAACAAAGGCATCTGGTTTTGTGGGTGCCACTGCTTCAGAAGTGATTGCTGTGGTACCCTGCAATGCCACATTTAAGTGCTGTCATTAAGGGAAACGAACCACATGTATTTGCATCCAACCTCGTATCCCACCCTTGCACCTGGTTGCAGCTCAGCCACAGCAGCGCCTCCCAACAAGCTCTCAATGAGATAATTAACTGGAGACATCAGCAGACGTGTCTGCTTCATTACTGCTGTGAACTGCCCGCAGGTTCCCTCCAAAGCCTTTCCACCTAATGGCCTTTACTGTCAGCTCTCTTTTTTTTCCCCCTAAGTGCCGATTGTTGGCACTTCTCTGGTTTGTCTCCTCACTGCTTAAACTAATAATGCTATGATAGACCAGAGCAAAATACGTTCTCTTTGCCACAAAGAAGGGCTATCCCGCTAAATTGAAATGAATAAACTGGAATGAGTGGAGAGTGTTACAGACCTGCAACTGGATTGCATTTTACTGGATTTCTATTGATGGATGAGGTTAAATAAGGTTTGAAATTTTGCCTTCTGGTTAATTATTATGAGTTAAACATGAAAAGAGAACAGAAATGTCATTTCAGTCAGTGGGAGGAAATAAGCAGAAGAGGAAGAGAGGGAAGCAGCAAACAAAACCAGCGAGGACAAGAAGAACTGATGGGAGCTTGGGTGATGAGAGGGGCAGGGACCACGGCTAATCCTGATGGCCTGACGTTGCTTCCTTTTATCTTCTGGCAAATGACATGCGGGGCTGAGGGAAAGAAATGTGATTATTCCAGGATTATTTATCATCAGATGCTATTTCCTCATAGTCTGCTTCTTACTGAAAACTTCAGGTTTATCTCTGAGAATGATTTCTGCCACAGATTGAGAGTTTAGCAGCAGCAGCCCTCAAACTGGCACTTGCGGCTTGCAGGATACGTCCAGCTCCCTCCAGAAGCTCACATCCTTTTCCACAAACGCTTGTCACTTCTGGAGACCCAACGTGATCAGGAGTTCGCTCTTCACATCATATACTCTCCAGGATGAATCACTGAAGCTTTAGGTAACAAAGCTGGATGTTAACTTCTTTTTTAAAGTTACCAGAAGAAAAAAACCCCATAAATTAAAAAAAAAAGGCCGTTTCTGACTGCAATGAGATTTCCCTTCAGAACCTGCAATATTTTCACTAGCTTTGCGAAGCTCATCCTGTTACTCCTCCCTGCCCTACGGCTCACAGGACCTTTCCTCCTTTCACCCTCTGGCTTAGGGTGATTCTCTTTGCTGTTCTGTGAATTCGAGCTCTTGCCCCTCATTTTTTCATGTTACTTAATTAAACTCTTTTTTAACATGCACAGTTGTCCTCACTTAAATAACCTTCCTAGTTCTTATAGCTTTTTCAAGGCTTTACTATTATATTCTTATTCTTTATGCGTACACCTTCTTAAACCCCCAGTCTCTCACACAGCATCAGTGCTACATCAATCACATGTAACATTATCCTTTCGGTATTCTTATTAGCAGAGCATTTACCTAATCTCTCCTTCCTCAGTCTGGGGCTCGGAGCCCCTCAGCAAATTAGAAGTGTCTTGCTTTTCTGCACTATTCTTCGAGAAAGAGTATTCCCCCTCTGCCTGCCGTGCCTTGCCCTGCAGGTCTGGTTCATGCCTGCACGGCACATTACCTAGTTATTTCTTAGAGAACAAACGGAAAATAATCCTTTTAGGAACACCCTGATATGAGCCACAACGTGTGTCTTAGCTTCAACATGTCTGCCTCTAATTTGCCGATTCGCTCTTAAAGATTTGCTGTTGTTGCCGACTTGGACTCAGCCGTCTCGCAAATGAACACCAAAGAACAATGCTGGCCTCAGCTGAGCTTCTCGCTCATCTCGCCATCCCTGCTGTGCATGACCAGCACCTTCAGTGGCCCCTGGCTACCCCTGAAGATCCTAACGCTTTTGATCAGGATTTGAGACAGCAACGACTTGAAGCCAGCCATAGGCTTTATCCTCATTTGCTGGCGTGTTACACTAGGCAGTACCATCTCCCTAACAGCATGATGGTTAAATTACACGAACTCTCTTTGTTTGCGTGGAGATCCTCTGGGATAAGAGAGAAGGCATCGTTCTGGCACTGCTCGGAATAATGAAGTCTGATTTCTCACCCAGTTGTGTCTCTTGCTTGACTGACTTTAAGTCCTTCCTTTGGCTCAGACAGGCTTTTCTCCTGTCATTAAATCTTAAATGTTAGCACTACATTAACAGCTATGTGTTGTTTTTCAACATGTAGAGGGTTAAAATGGAAAAAGGGAAAGATTTAAGGATTTCCTCACCATGCAGAGAGGTGAGTGGCAGAGCTGAGATTAAATTTCTTGGCTTCCTTGACCTTTTGTTCTGATCTCAGTGACATACAATGTGCTTCTGCTGAAGAAAACCCAGACATCGGAAGTCCCTTGTGCCTGTGATCCCATCATGGGCCTTCTAGGCGTACGGAGTCCATTAAAGAGGAGCCCACCACTGTATTAGAAATGTGGTCAACACGAAATCATCGAGATGACTGCTCAATAAAACTCAGCTTCTAAAAATCAAGGCAGGTCATGCTAAGTGTCTTCACATCTCGATGAGTTGTGGGTTTGGCATGACCTCCATTTTGAGCACTTGTGGGTCAAGGCATTTTCCCTCTTGTAAAATGTTATTGATTGAACCGCAGTTACGGTTTTGAC